TTTATCCCAATCCATACATCGACTGAATCAGGCATGTTTATACATATGTTGCCTTCATTCTTTTCTAGACATTTATTTTCTATTGAGCCCTTGGTATCAGCTCCTCTTTTTTTATCTCTCCCTCCCACCATCACCCTCATAACCCCCCTTATAGATTGTACATTGTTGTTATTTTCATCTCTCACACCGACCGCTGTCTCCCTTCCCCCATGTTTTCTGTTGTTCTTCCCCCTGTAGAGGGGTGTATGGTTATGTGTTGATTGTTGCGATTGGTTCCCCCTTTCTCCCTTCCTCTCCCTGTCTTTCCCCCACCCTCTGGCATCACCATTCCCACTCCTGGATTCTGTGTGTCGTGAGCTCCCATCCTTTTCTGTACCTGTGCACATGTTCCGGTCTAGTCTGAATTGAGAAGCCACACTGGGGTCACGGTAGTCGGGGGTGAGGAGGCCTCAAGGAACTAGAGGAATATAGTGTGTTTCATTGATGCTTTACTGCACCCTGGTGACTCATCCCTTCCCTGTGGCCCCTCTGTGGGGAGATTGTTCCATTGTCTACAGATGGGCTTTGGGTCTCTGTTCCAAACCCCCTAGTTCTCAACAATATGTTTTTGTTTGTTATGTGTCTTCTGATGCCTCTTATTCGGTCCCTATGACTCCTCAGGGAATAACTGGGGTGTGGGAGTCAATAACCAGGAGGAAATAGACATCCAACGGGGTTGGGTGTCGGAGAAACAGCAAACTAGCTAAAAGGAGGCACCAAGAGGCAGAAATAAGGGGGAAGGGACAGTGGGGCAGGAGGAAGGTCAAAGGAAACAGAGGAAGGACCTAGGAAGTAAAGCAATGGATAGAAGTATAAACATAGTGGGGTACATATGCAAAGGCATTAATACACCAAAATAGAGGTATTGGCCCATGTACATGTATTTATATGGCAATATACTCAGGTAGGGCATGGACTTCGGGCCTCTGCTCATATCCTCCCTCAATGCAAGAACACTTTGCTCTACCTAATCGGCAGTCTGAGATGTTCACTCTGCCAACATAATCACTGAAGACAAAATGGGTACATAAGCAACGGTGGTGAAGAAGGCAGATGCAGCTATTAAAAGATAAAGCTCATGCACCCGCTTTATCTTTAGCGATTGAGTCAGGAAAGACTGATGTGCTTCTTCCACGTGGGTTTTGTTGTTTCTCAGCTAGATGGCTGCCTGTTTATCTTCAGGCCTTTAAGACTTCAGATGCTATATCTTTTGGTAGCCAGGAACCATCAGCTTTCTTCACCACATTTGCTTGTTCACCCATTGTCTTCAGTGATTGTGCCAGGAAGGTGAGCATCTCAGACTGCCGAATTGTTAGAACAAAATATTCTTGTGTTGAGAAAGTACTAGAGCAGGGGCCCAGTGCCCACCTGTTTCCTTAATACTAAGCCTATAAATATATGCACATAGACCTATTTCCCTCTCATCCTATATGCTGAGGACAAAGCTGGTGCATAAGCAAAATAGGTGAGGAAGCTGATGGTGCCCAGATATCAAAAGACATAGTGTCTGGGGTCTTAAAGGCTTGAAGATAAACGGCGGCCAGCTAGCTAAGAAACAACAAAGCCCACACGGAAGAAGCACACCAGCCTACCCAGACATGATCTCTGAAGACAAAGCAGGTGCATAAGCAAATGCAGTGAAGAAAGCTGATGGTGCCCGACTGTTAAA